AAGACCCTGACTCTTGACCCTACGGCTTTAAACGCAAAGCCCAACACTCCACAAACCCTATGCACCCTCATAGTTCAAACTCCAAAGGGTAAGCCCTGGAAGTGCAAACCCCAAGCTCTCAGACCCTAAATCCCCTAGTCCCTGATAAGCTCCGACACCCTGACCCCCACTCAACCAAAAAAAGTGATGCCCGAAATAGTAGCACCCATCTTATAACGATTCCCAAAACGGGACCACTAGTCTTGTCGGAAACACAAACCATAAACCGTAAAGCTTAGACCCGATATAAACCCAAAGCCAAAACCCCCAGGTGGCAATGAGCTGACGTCCGTAGATCCAAACTTGACGCAGCTGGAAGCCCTGGAGGAGTTGGACCTTTCTGGCCGCACAGCTTGAAGCTTTTAGTGTGTGGGTGGTTCTCTAAATGAGGGTCCCTTTTTATGTCCTTGTTATAAGAGTGCCGTATTAGGGTTTAGGGGTTCAGGGTTTAGGCTTAGTTTTTAGTGTGTGTGTGTGTGTTTTGCAATTCGGGAGTTTGCTTTGAGTTCATGGTTATTTACACGCGGTGTAGGCTCGAGGTTTGCAGTCAGGGTTTGTTTCTTGCGAGTTGAGGGTTACCGTTCCGGTCGTGAGTTTCTCTGGATGAAAGTTGATCTGACAAACAGTGCAGGGTGCAGGGTTTCACATCCGGGGCTTGATTCAGCGTGCCGCATTTGGCTTGGAGATTTAGCGTGGCTTGAAGGGACTAGGTGCCGGTGTAGGCGTAGGGGTGAATTCGCCGTTTGTATGTTTATCCACCCGTTGTTTGTTTAGCCTGCCTGCCTATCGATCCGTCTACCTGTCTATCTACGTATATACCTGTTTATCTATGCCTCTGCCTCTCCATCTGTCGGTCTGTCGATCTAAGTATCTGCTTGTCTTATCTGGCCATCTATCTACCCATCTATCTATCTCTCTGTCTTTCTGTCTGTCTGTCTGTCTGTCTGTCTATCACATATCTCTTCATCTATCTGTCTTTCCTTGCTTCTATCTGTCTATCTGTCTATGCATGTTTACATACATGTAAATAAACAAATGTCCATCTCTCCATCTGTCTGTGCATCTATCTCACGGCCGGTCCATCTGTCTACGTATCGAACATGTATATACCTGCATGTGCATGTTGATATACAGACATATATAAATATGTTTCACTTCTATACATATGCATACATAAAGTTATATACATATATATATATGCGTCTAGACACGCACGCTTACAAATACGCATGTGTGTGTCTGTTTCTCGGTCTCTGCCTGTCTCTGTCGATATTTCTATGTCTGTTTCTATGAGTCTCTGCTAGAGTCTGTTTGTTCCTGTGCGTGTGTGTGTGTGTGTGTGTCTGTGTGTGTGTGTGTGTCTGTCTGTCTAGCTGTCGAGCTGTCTGTATGTACGTATGTATGTACGTAGCTATGTATGTTATGCATGCATGCATGCATGCTTGGGGCTTTGGCTTTGGTTGAGGAGTTGATTGGGGTTTCAATTGGGTTCCAAGCTCGTTACTTCATTTCTCGAGCTGACAAAATATGGTCCCCGAACACCCTGGGTCCTCGACATTGTAAACTCATATCATAAGTTAACCATAAACCCTAAACCCCAAACCCTAAACCCTAAACCGCTAAGATTTTTACGAATCCTGCGATTCCTGAAATCGCGAGCACTGGGTGTTCAGCTCGTATTCCCAAACCCTGCAGGTCCTGTAGAAAGTCACTCGACTACTATACCTTAGGGGTACTTAGAAATAATTTTTAATGTTTGGTTATTAAACTCCCTAAGAAACAGCTAAAATTGTAGTTTTTGCTAGGGTTCTAAGTTCAGTATAGATACACTCTGCACCATAAGTCTTAAATCGTAAGATAGAAGCTCGGCCCTATACCCTCTGAGCAAAGCTAGTCTCGTGCCATGTGTACCGCGGTTTACCTTGCAGGTGAGAGCCTCAGAAACCCAAAGCTTATGAAGATCTCTGAATCCGGTGAATTAATTCGAAACCTTAAGACCCTAAACCCTAAACCCTAAACCCTCAAGCCAAACACTATAACACCCAAGCCATCTACGCCAACCCCCCCTGAGACGAAGACCCCCAAAAGCCCAAAACCTAAGACCCAAGACTAAGATCCAAGGGGCCTGAACCCTACAAAGTTGAAGGTCGAGGGTGGTTAGGGTATAGGGTTTAGGGTAGTTTGGGGCTAGGGCGGGTTGAGAACCCTAACCGTAGCCATCAAGCCCTTAACCTCAAGCCGAAGACCTCAAGGCAACAAGCTGGAGAGCCTTCCTTCGCATGTGGTCGTGGTCTCAGACTTGAGATTCAGGGTTTCGGGGTTTCGGGTTTTTAGAGTTCGGGGTTTAGGAAGGGCTGAGGGTTGGAGCTCGGGGTTCAGGGTTTAGGGGTATAGGGTCTTAGAGACTGGGGTTTAGAGTTCTGGGTTTAGGGATGTAGGGTTCAGGGCTTGGGGTTTAGGTTCCGGGCTTACGGCTGAGCTCGCCTTGCCATGGGGCCTGAGCTTTGGACAGTTGTAGTTTTGTTCATGTTGTTTTCGTTTGCGATGCAAGCGTGGAGAATACGTACATACATAGTATACATTTGTATATATACACATACACATATACATACCAGTGCTGACAAGGGCATGCATATATACATGCATATACGTTTGAACCCACGTGCATTCCAATGTTTACAAATACGCGCATGCATACACGCTCAGGCCCACACATGTAGTGTTCATGTGTTTGCTTAATCCTGATACGCTTGATTGCTACTACACAATGTACGCAGCGCATCCACTGCCACTTGCAAACGGAATGTTAGAATGCATTAAAGCGGCTGCAGTACCTCATTATGACTTGTGTATGAGGGGGCCTCGCAGCAAGACACAACCACAATGATAATCGCAAGACGCTATTCTTCCAATTGCGGAGCACTATACACATTTGGGTTTTTGCGTGTGGTAGCAATGCACAGACATGAAGCAGCAACACGCAGCCACAAAGACAATCGCAAGACTGTATCCCTGCATCTTGAGGGAAAACATACATGTTTGATGCTTATGGTGTCGTAGCATATACTATATCAGGGATGTACTTAGTCTGTAAGTGAAGAGGTCAGTAGATTAATCATTTGTGTTTCTACAAGTGTGTCTCTATATGTATATGTATATATATATATATATATATATATATTATGCTTATACAGGTATATATACCTATGTTCGTAATCTGTGTGTAAGCCTCGTATGAGCAAACTTCCGGCAAAGCTTGGCAGTAAACAGAGCTGCTTACACCTATTCTTCGACATTGTGCGGCGGCATATCACACAGTATGCAAACTGCCAATCCCGACATGGGTTGCAGGGTAGTTATGAAATGTCACGATGAGGCTCCCACCAAGCCCACTAATGCTTTTGTTCCAAGCAAATCCCCTGGATGCCCTCCATCCTTACGACTATCCTTGGTGCACAACCCCCGCACGTAACGATGGTGTACATTGAGCCTGGACCCTTGGAACTATACGTAGGTGCCATGCTTCTATAAGCAGCTCACATCCTCACAAACAAATTATGCTCTTGCTGCGGTCTTTTGAGAACATTGCGCAAAGGATGAATGTCGGAGACAATATACTGTACATGGACCCTCGGAATAGCATGACCTAGCACAAACACGTACACTAGGTTCTCCCCTCGACAACCTAGACCGTCCAAAGTAATATCCCTCCTGGTCGTAAGTTATGCCCCAATCCTACACCACGTTCTCTCTACAGGTGGCTACATTACGTAGCCTTCGCTCGCTCGTCTTGGATGGAATCCTGGCATGCTCAATGTTTGGACTGGCTTCTGGTTTGGGGTTACCTAGAATTAAGCCCTAATTAAACTGATCCCTAAATCTCTAAACATTCATGAGTTCCACGCCCCAATTCATACCCGACGTCCTATATAATAAGTCAAGGCAAAGTACAAGATTTACCAAGTCGCTCGACTCTCCATAAATTAAAGCCAGGACCCTCAGGGACAGTCCGCCCCACCCCCAGCTGAAGACCCGAACCTGTAAAAGTAAACATCCCAGACTCTAAACCCTGAAAGCCTTAATCAAAAACCCTAAAACCATGACCCCAGACTTAACAAGCCTTAACCCTGTGCCCTGAAAAGAAACCCTTGCAATAGCCCGTCATCTTACCGTTTACAAAAAGAACCGCTAGAGTAACCCTTATGACGAGACGGCTCCGAAAGGCAACCCGGCTGTCGAGGGCATGCCGCCCACACAGCTGAGGCAGGTCCAAATAGGGGGCATTAATAACTCGAATAGGTTTGGTTGAGGTTTATTAGGGTTTTGGGTTAAGGAGTTAAGGGTTTAGGGGATTAGTAGTGTAGACGATCATGAAAGAGTGTCTGTTAGGGGATGTTCTTGCTAGTTCCTCAGACCTGTATACTAGGGTTGTAGGGTTTAGGGGTTTAAGGTTTTTAGTTTTCAATTTTCAGTTGAAGATTTGCACCGTTTCGGGCTTTGGAGGGTAGGTACTCCTTCGGTTTAGAGCTTGAGGGTTCCTAGTACCTAGGATGCCCAGTAGTACCCTTATTCCCTTTTTGTAGTCATAGGTTCCTTACAAAGTTACCCAATACCAAAAAGAGAGGCCTTTTTATTCTTAGGTTACTGGGTATCCTAGGTTCAGTGATTGGGGCGTTTAGGTATGAGGCGTTCTTTTGTACTGTAGGCAAAGGGAACTCCATGTCAACGAAATTACACACCATGTGCCGAGAGCCCATAGCAGAACCAGCAGTGTTTATGCTGGGTCTGGTTACCAGACCTCTACGCAGTTTAGCCCGAAACACTTACGCGCTCTTCCCTATACTGTAATCGTAAACCGTACCTAGACCCAAATTAAAAAAGCCAACCTTTGGGTCCAGGTAAGCCCTAGCATCCTCCGAAACCCTAACCCTGAACAATAAACCCAAAGCCGTGAGAGGCAGATGGCGCGGCCTGGCCGAAAGCCTGGTCAGACGCCCGTGCAGGTAATCTGCAGTGCCTTGGTCTCTTTAAGGTTTAGGTTTTAGGGTTTTGGGGTTACCCTGGCCTTTTAACCCAAAAATATTAGGTCCATATAAAGAACCCGAGGTATTAACGACCCAGGGTTTCTTAATGAGCCTTTAGGTCATTTGCAGTGCCTTGGTCGTCAACCATGAGGCTTAATTTGCCGGGTTTAAGGACTCTTTTAGGTTTGGGATTTCAGGCTTAATGTAATTATGCACCTAATCTATACACCCTGGCCCCATGACCTCAAAAGGTGAAGATCCATATAGCGAGCCTTGGTAATATTATAACGACCCAGGGTTTCTTAATCAGGCTCTTACAATAACCTCGTAGTAGCGTAGGCAACCTTTAACATTTTTGGGGTAGTATAGTCCCTATATAATCCCCATATAACCCAAAAGGTTAACCTTCAGTTCCCATGATTCCCGACAAGTAGGTTAAGGTAGGCGCAAGTTCAGTCTGTAGGGCTGAGCGTTTCTACAGGGCCTTTGACTTTGGCTCAGGGCTTACGTAGTATTCAGAGCTGCGTTCCGGTACCAGCAGCCCCGGTGCCTTCAAAAATTCAACAGAGTAGGTAGCTTCATTAAATTAATAAACCCTAAAGCCCTGAACTGCTCTATACCGTAAAAAAGCCAAAGCCCTAACGCGCTCTTACATGTCAAATTCCAGCTATATAGGTCTCTTGCGTGCAGAGTCGGCAGCGCCGCCTCCTCCACCGCCACCAGCGACCTCGGAGGTGTCTGTCCGGGCAATGGAAGCAGGTTTGCAATACCAACATCCATCCATCCCTCCCTCCGCTTCAGATGCTGTTGGCGTACCTTCAAGAAGTAGTATTAGGTGCAATCTGAAAGGCACCATTCAACAGGCACTGATGTTGGGATCAGTATGCAAATCTGCAACGCTTGATAAATCTCCAGTTCGGGGGTTGAGGGTTGAGGCGGCATCTACTGCAGTACAAATCTAACGTAGCAGCCGGAAAAAAATGGTATCAGCAACCCCTTATATAGTAGCCTTAGTATGGTATGCACCAACACAATATGGTCTAGTTGTTAAGCTAAATCACTCGGGCTAAGCATCACCTGCCGAGATCTTCTAGTCATAACTGGGGTTGGGAGTAAGGTAACCATATATTACCACTCCCTTTAGGGCAATTCTAAACCCACTTATCCCGTAATCCTAAACCCTATAGAACCCTTAAAAGGAACCCTATCCCTACAACTTATAGTAACACTTATACCAGGACCCTTCTTGTACCCTCAAACAGGGGTATATGGTCCCAAGTAATGGGCATTTAGGGTCTAACAGAGGGTAGATGGAGGGCCTAGGTACCCAGAGAGCCCAATACCCCTTAAAATACCTTAAATCATAATATGAAGCCCTATATTATTTAAGCCGTATTCCTTAATTAAGGGGTATTGGGCTCTCTGGGTAACTACCCATGACCCCACAGGTCAGCCCTGTGGACGATGGCTACGTTGGTCGGGAAATGCCCGCCCCGCCCCCACCGGCTTCACAGGACTTGAAGCACCCAACGGGTCCCTAGCACCTTCATGTGGGATGCTTGCCAAAATCATAATATAAATTCCTAAACTCCTAAACATTCCTAAACTTTAAATCTTAAGCCCTAAGATCCATACTAGTATGTCCTTGCAAACAAGAGACCCTGCATTCTACTATGTAGGTACTTGTAGGGCCCTTGGGGCAGTTTTCTTAGCTTGGATACTGCCCCCAGTCAGTGGCAGCTGCACAACAATTCTTAGTATAGATATGGGAGTTTCCGAAAATAGGGGTACCTTATTTGGGGGGTCCTTATCATAAGGATCCTACTATTTGGGGTACTATACTAGGGTCCCCTATTTTCGGAAACTCCCATATATGCCCTTGAGAGTAGCTCTACTATTACAGACTGTTACTGCATGCTGGCAGTCCCAATTCATCATATTTGGCGAGGTTGTTGACCGTCGGCTCCGTTATAGAAACTGGTGCTGTCGGCTCCGTCAGTATATTCCAAGCATCAGACTACAGTAAGCCCTAAACCCCAAAAGGGTCCAAGTAACGGCAAAGTATATACTCTTGTGGCCCAAATAAGTACCTGCTATATAGGTGGTTGGACCTTTTAGGCACTACAGTTACTACGCCCCTCTACATAGAACCACGAGCTGGACAACACACCGAGACCTTGAGGACTAATCCGTAATTTCCCTGAGGCTCTGTGTATAAGCAAGCAGGGTAATTATGGGGTTTGGGCTTATAGGGCCTGTAGGGTTTATAGGGCCTGTAGGGTTTACAGGGTGTAGGGCTTAGGGACTGGCTTAGAGGCGTAGAGTGCAGGGAGTTACAAGGGGTTTCGGGTTAAGGGTTTAGGCCAACGACTTCTGTCAGGGCTCTAGCTGAGGTATTTGGGTGTGGGGCTTAGATTGTGTTTAGAGTTTACATTAACCTCAAACAGCCTGCCGTCATTCTCATGACCATATATACGTCTTCGAGAGGTAGGTTTTTGGGGCTTAGTGGTTTTAGGGTTTGAAGGCTGCCTGCTTACCAGATACTTTATTAAGCAATATCTTATCGATCCTTTGGAGTTTTAGGCATAGGGGCTCGTTGTGGCTTGCATGGACGTCAACCCTGAGCCTTTATGTACACACGTTCTCACATGGTATATACTTAGGCCTTCAAGAGCCCAAAATAGAAAAAAGGAGTCCCTTCAAGGCCTAACCTAGTTCCCTCATGCTCGAAGCATTGTGCTTGGGTCGGAGGATACCTCGCAGACGCAGCGCGTGAGGACGCTGGTCCAGGAGGTAGAGAGTGGGTTGGGAGATTTTAGGGGATAAGGTGGGGGGGTTCAGTATAGCCCTAAGGGTCCAAGTACCTAAAAATCCATATACTCTCCAGAATAGTAACCTACATAACTACTATGCTAAACCCAAGTACCTTATTATCGGGTCCTTTGGACCCTTAGGGTAGGGTTTCGGGTTTCCTCCAAGCAGAGACAAACCTCCACAACGCTCGCTCACAGGCTCAGGTCGACCGACAGACAGACCGACTGACTAGGGATAAGGGGGGGCATTATTATAAGGGTTCAGTATAGGGCCTTAATATTGTAGGGCTTAGGGTTTAAGGTTCTATCTATGTAATTATCTATCTTCTAGACTGACTAGGGATAAGGGGGGCATTATCCTGGAAGTAGAGTAGGCAACCTTTAGCTGTTTTGGGGTAGTATAGGCCCTATATAATCCCTATATATCCAAAAAGGGTTAAACCTTTTAGTTCTCCATGATACCCGACAAGTAGGTTATAATGTATACGGTGGCCTTAAAGTAGTCCCTGTGCATGGTCTTTGGGGCCAAAGTACAATATACAAATTTGGGTACATGGACTCTTAGTGTTCCTTGAATTCCTTGAATCTGACGGTTACTTTAAGGGATCTAGAAGAATTCTATAAAGTTTCTAACGGAGCTTAGGGTTTGGGATTCAGGAGGGCTTTAGGCGTTTAGGAGGTTTGAGTTTAGGGATTATCGTTTAGGACCCCGTACGCTGAAGCTTACAAACTCTATGAAAAAGTAGCCACACCACGACTGCCGCCCCCCCTAAACCCCAAACCCAACTGAGACGCAGTCAGGTGGAACGACTGCAGGCGCGGATTACCGAGCTCGAGGAGGAGCCAGGGATGGACCAGCTGTAGAGAACCTTGAGGGTTTAGGGCTTTAGGGGTTTAGGGTTTAGAGGTTTAAGTTGAGGTGCCTTTGTACATCTTTCAAGCCCCCAAACCCTTAACATCACAGCAGCATCAGAATAGGTGCTCAGATCGAACCCTCAGGGTCCCAATTCCTTAGTATCATATACTCTCCAAAATAGTAACCTACATAACTATTATCCTAAAACCGAGTACCCAATTGTTGGGTCAAGCAAGACCGGGGCCACTGGGGACACACTGAAGGCCTTCTGGTCTCAAAAGTGACTCCTTTGGAATCTTGGGGTAAGCTGCTGAAACCAAGAGGCCTCCAGCCCGCTCTCTCGCAGGAGAAGGCTTCCTCTCCTTCGCCCATGTTGGCCAAGACCACAGGCTGGCAGGGGTAGCCTTCTACAGTACCTAAGCTCCCACAGTAATGTCACATAGATACGAGTGCAACATATGATAGTATTATTCCTATTCATCAGACTTAAGGCAAGCACATACGTATCGTGACTAAGAAGAAGAAATGTAACACTGCAAGTTTCGCGCTTCGGGTTTACGGGTTCAGGCTTCTTGACAACCAGCCATACTTGCTGTCTGTCTCAACACTTTACATCTAGATCGATAGATCGATAGGTAGACCGATAGATAGACCGATAGATAGACCGATAGATAGGCCGATCGATTGACCGATGGATAGATAGATACACAGAAAGCTAGATAGATGAGCTATTTGTCAAAACACATAAATATACAAACATGGATGTAAGCGTATGCATTGTTGTGCAGCCCCCTAAACCCTAAAGCCCTAAACCCGACACCTTAAAGCCCTACACCCTAAACCGCTAAAGCCCTAGGCCCTTAAACCCGTATAGTACCCCTATAGAGCCCTTTAAAGGAGACCTTCATAATCCCCTTAAAAGGACCTCAGCCCCGTTAAAGGGAAAGCCGGGGCTCTCCGGAAGGCGGCGTAGGGGCCTCGAAGCCCTCCTGGCTGGCAGACTCGGGCCGGAACTCCTTGGCCCCTTGGTAAATGGCAGGTTTCGGGCTTAGGGATCAGGTTTTCTAAAGCATTTCGTAATATTTCGTAGATATGAATTTATTCGGGTTTAGAAGGGTTTATAAACCCTAGAAGGGTTTATGGAACTCACCTTCGTTCTTTGTAGGGAGGCGGGGTGGCTTGCTATAGTTTTAGGTTTTTGTTGTGGTTTTACAGCCCTGCAGGGTGCCAAGAAGACTTCAGAATGGTTCTATAAGTTTTGTAGTAGGGCAATTGCACGGTTCTACAAAGGTTCCGATAAGGTTTTATGTGGGTCCGAGTACCGAAACTCTTGGGGTTTTGACATGTTGCGGGTGTGGGGGTCTATGCAAGGGCTTAGGAATTTTGCGATTCGAGATTTCGGGTCGAGGGTTTCTGAGGGTTTGGGGCAGAGGGAGGTTTGCGAATTCATGGTTCGCGGTCTTCAGTCTGGCGCTTAGTTGGGGGAATGGGGGAATGGATCCCTATAGTAGTCCCTATATAATCCCCAATAGTAGTCTTCATAATCCATTCCCCCATTCCCTACTAAGCACCAGTGGGTGTTTCGGGCTCGGGTGCTGAGGTGTGTTCAAGTTTCGGTTGATCCTCAACGCCCGCACGAACCCCAAGCCCCGAAGTCCTAAAGCCCGAAAGCCCTAAAGCGCTGAAGCCCTCAACCCTAAAGCCCATAAACCCTAAACCCCTGAACCCTATATACCCTAAACCCCAAGCCCAAAGTCTAGTCCAAGACTCGCCGAGGCAGCAACGCTCCCGTCGCGGCGGGGCTTGGGAGGAATAGAAGACGACGAGGCCTCCTTGGAAAGAGGGTTAGTTAATATATAGGGGCCTTAATGGGGTTCCTTGAAAAGGTTCCTTAAAGGGTCTACAAGGGATACATAGTAAATATGGTTCTGTGGTAATTGGGCTTGAATAATTATCTTCACTATTTAGGATTTAGGGGTCTCCTTATCATAGTTACAGTATAAGATACCCCAAAAACCTATTCTATTTATTCAGGCCCATAATATGTCAAGCGACCCTCCCTGAACCCGTAGCACAAAAGATCGAGAATTTGCCCAGCAAGCATTCTACCAGGGTTCTAAAAGGGTATCTAGACACCCCGACGTAGGTAAAATAAAGGCCCAAAACCTCTACAAGACTGTTCTTCTCCACACTTTTGGTTCTAAAAGGGCCCCCCAAGTCGGTAAAAAGAATAAAGGCCCAAGGCCTTTAAAAGGCTGTCTTCTACATACTTTTGGGGTCCAGGTACCTTTTCGGGCTTGTCCAAAAGATCGGGCTTGAGGCCTCAACCCGGCACGAAGGACGAGCGGACCAATCAAGCAGGTTCTGACGGTTGTCAGTGGCTACACACATTTGATTCATACTGGGTACGAAAGTTCAGAAGATAGAAGCTTCATCAGTGCAGAATGTGCCGATTTCTGGCTCCTTCAGTTGCCTTATAAGTGCTACGATGCTACGACATGCTTTTCCACCAGCGCTATCACGACATGCTTGCAAGGAAGGGCGATGCCGACATGAGGCCTTCCAACTACCAGATCCATGCTTTGCTGCTTCACCTGGGCACCCTGCTGAAGAGAGCAAGGTGATCGAGACACACGCGGTTATCCAGAAGAAAGGCATGAAAGGCATGTCGACATCCTGCAGCCATGCAAGTCTAACAATTGCTACATCTTTCTACCCCGAAATCCTGCACTTTAAAACCTACACCCTGCAGCCCTGACCCTATAAACCCTACGCCCTAAGCCCCGTACCCCATGAACCCTAATCCTAAACTCTAAGTGCTGCATGTTTTGGAGGATGCCGGTCTCAAGAACCAGCTCAAGGAGGAGCAGCGCAGATGCAAGCGCTTGGAGCAGCAAGTGCAGCTCAGCATGCCTTGCTCTTCGGGGAGGGTGGGGGTGCTTCTATGTAAGGCAATACTCTACAAGGATTTCGCATGGGGTTTCAGCAGGGCTAAAAGAGGTGAGACTAGTGCCAGTGGAGGGTGTTTTTACTGTTGCTTTGGGAGCGAGTGGTTTGTGTATAGGGGTTGTGATCGCCCCTATTCCTACCATCAGTCATGCTCCCGAGATGGTGCAGCTACCCAGAGAGCCCAATACCCCTTAATTACGGAATATAGCTTAAATCATAATATTGAAGCCCTATATGATTTGTGCTATATTCCTTAAGCTGTGTCAAGTCGACAGTCCTCCTAGTGGGCGACCCAGCGGACACTCGCAAGTGAATGAGTAGTGTACAGAACTGCGAGTGACAAAGGCGCCGGGCCTTTCTTGTCTAGTATGTGTGGGTGGCTAGTGCGGTAAGAACGGTACAGATGTTCACCGCGTGCCACGTCGACGCCACGGAACGGCGTTTGCAAGTCTTGTGTTCTCCCTCGTGCTGTGCACGTGATGCTGTTGTTAGATTTGGTGCATCCTGATTTCTGGCCGGAGTGTGTCTCCCGGAAATCGTGATGAAGGGGATGCGGGACACCGGTACCCTGGATTCTCGGGGTCGCGTCCGGACGCGCGGCCCCTGCTTGCAGGTCATATCCGGGATCACTAGTTGACCATGGTCTGAAAGTCCCGTGGCCAACGATGTGATAGGGGTGTTTCTTTGTCTGACCTCGGTTTTGGTGCTTGCCGAGATTGGGATTTAATTGAGATTGATTGTACAGCTCTCATGTGGCTCGCTGCACCCGGTGAACCGCTTAGCGCGGCGGGGTGCAGTGGACGGTCTGCGCCACAGTGTGCGTAGACCTTTTGTCGCTCGGGCCATTTGTACCGCTTCGCGCGGCGGCCTGGGTAGCACTCTTTGAGGGAGTGTTGCCCTGTGCCGTTTCGTGGACTTTGTTGCAGATTGTTTAATAAGGAGGCGGGTTGTTGGGACGACCCCGTCTGCCCTCAGTCCCACAAGACGAGAATGTTTTAAGGTGGTTTCACAGCGCCTGGCTCTTCGGAGCTTCGAGCGACATCCATCCATCCATCCTATATTCCTTAAGCTGCGTCAAGTCGACAGTCCTCCTAGTGGGCGACCCAGCGGACACTCGCAAGTGAATGAGTAGTGTACAGAACTGCGAGTGACAAAGGCGCCGGGCCTTTCTTGTCTAGTATGTGTGGGTGGCTAGTGCGGTAAGAACGGTACAGATGTTCACCGCGTGCCATGTCGACGCCACGGAACGGCGTTTGCAAGTCTTAGTTCTCCCTCGTGCTGTGCACGTGATGCTGTTGTTAGATTTGGTGCATCCTGATTTCTGGCCGGAGTGTGTCTCCCGGAAATCGTGATGAAGGGGATGTGGGAGACCGATACCCTGGATTCTCCAGGTCGCGTCCGGACGTGCGGCCCCTGCTTGCAGGTCATATCCGGGATCACTAGTTGACCATGGTCTGAAAGTCCCGTGGCCAACGATGTGATAGGGGTGTTTCTTTGTCTGACCTCGGTTTTGGTGCTTGCCGAGATTGGGATTTAATTGAGATTGATTGTACAGCTCTCATGTGGGTCGCTGCACACGGTGAACCGCTTAGCGCGGCGGGGTGCAGTGGACGGTCTGCGCCACAGTGTGCGTAGACCTTTTGTCGCTCGGGCCATTTGTACCGCTTCGCGCGGCGGCCTGGGTAGCACTCTTTGAGGGAGTGTTGCCCCGTGCCGTTTCGTGGACTTTGTTGCAGATTGTTTAATAAGGAGGCGGGTTGTTGGGACGACCCCGTCTGCCCTCAGTCCCACAAGACGAGAATGTTTTAAGGTGGTTTCACAGCGCCTGGCTCTTCGGAGCTTCGAGCGACATCCATCCATCCTATATTCCTTGATTAAGGGGTATTGGGCTCTCTGGGAAGGTAAGTAGGTAGGTGCTTGTGTTCCTTCTTATTACTGCAGCACCTGGCGAAGATGCAAGGCTGCTGTGCAAGAAGCCGACAAAGACGACTTAGATTGTGCTTGTGACAGTACAGGGACATGTGCCCACGACATAACATAGAGAGCCCTTTGGGAGTTTCCGAAAATAGGGGACCCTAATCTAGTACCCTATATAGTAGGATCCTCATGATTAAGGATCCCAAAACTATAAGGTCCCCCTAATTCTCGGAAACTACCCTATGGACGTCAATTCGGACATCTTGAAGCGAGTAAAGGATCCCTCCGTCGGTGAACTGTGGCAATCTGGGTAATGTAGGAACCTGATGAAGAAACCTTGGGCCTTTAGTATTAGTAGGGTTCCTTATATGCATCCAAGCATCTTGAGGGTTTCAGGCCCAGGGTTTCTTAATCAGGTTCCTACATTACCTGCAGTGAGTGTTCGGCATGAACCAAGCCCACCCCTGCACCCTAAATCCAAGTCCTACATCCATCCTTCATCAGTCCCCCTTGTCCCCAAACGCTACAAAAATATCACGGTGATGACCCCTTAATGATAGGGTCGAACCCCTAAAACGGCAGTAGATTTGGGGATCCCCAGCCCAACTCTGAATCGACAGCCCACCAGGGCCACCGAAGCGAGATTGAAATGTTCCCAGAGAGCCCAATGCCCCTTACTTAAGTAATATACCTCAAATCGTAATATGAAGCCCTATATATTTTAAGACATATTCCTGAACTCCCTTATAGAACCCCTGTAGATATCTTCAAGGAGCCCTTTAAGGAACCCCTAGGCCTTAAGCTATCTTCCTTAACTCCCTTGTAGAACCCTCATAGATCCCTTTAAGGAGCCCTTTAAGGAGCCCTTATATTCCTGAAGTAAGGGGCCCCTTGGGCTCTCTGGGTTGCAAGAAGCCCAGGCAGCGCCTCACAGATCGTCTTTCCGAGCAAGGTGAGGCTGTTCAGGGCTTAGGCTGCAAAGTTTAGGGGTTTAGGGTTTTAGGGTTTAGGGCTTTAGGGTTAAGGCTTTGGGGGTTTAGGGCTTAGGGGTTTAGGGGTTTAGGGTTTAGTGTTTAGGGGTTTAGGGTTTAGGGGTTTAGGGGTTTAGGGTTCAGGCAGGGTTTCGTGTCTGAGGAAGCTTCAGGGGAAAAGTTGGGGATTTTGAAGTTTAAGGGCGTCGGAGTTTGTGTTGGGTTTCCCGAAGCACCTCGACTGGGGATTTGATACTCCTGAATAGTGCACACTCCCCTATCGAAATGTCGGGCAAAATCGGGTCCTCAACAAATCGTGAAGAAGCTCCCGAATATGTTTGTCGTATAGAAGCTCCCAGCACTCAGCACCCCAGTTTGAATATTGGGGCTTCTCTGTATAGGGCTGAGGAGAAGAAGGTCTACGTAAACACTATGATCCCTGAACCCTGGAAGCCTCACGTGTGTTTGATGATCGGTGCTGCCACGAGCTTGTGACTCTGGGGCTTTAGGGCTTGCAATTGTGGCTTAGCGCAGGTTGTAGCACTTAGGATTCTGCAGGGCTAGGCTCCAGGGGCTAAGACTCAGACCTCCGAAATGCTTTTCAACAAAACCCCTAAGATCCTCGTCATTATTGGCTCATGAGGCCTTTAGCAAAGCTAATTACTGGGGCAGACATCCTATAGTCTCCATTGTAGTTCTTTTTGGGGTTTAACCCATTATATATTAAGGATCCCATAAGGTAACCCCCAAAAGGAACTACAATGGAGACTATAGGAATTATATATTAAGGATCCCATAATATACCCCCAAAAAGGCACTACAATGTAGACTATAGAATTATATATTAAGGATCCTATAAGGTAACCCCAAAAAGGCACTACAATGGAGACTATGGAATTATATATTAAGGATCCTATAAGGTAACCCCAAAAAGGAACTACAATGGATACTATAGAATTATATATTAAGAATCCCATAATATATCCCAATAAAGGCACTACAATGGAAACTATAGGAATTATATATTAAGAATCCTATAAGGTAACCCCAAAAAGGAACTACCATGGAGACTATAGGAATTATGTGTTAAGCATCCTGTAAGGTAACCCCAAAAAGGAACTACCATGGAGACTATATCAATTATATAGAATATAACCCCAAAAAGGAACTACCATGGAGACTATAGGAATTTCATATTAAGAATCCTATAAGGTAACCCCAAACAGGAACTACCATGGAGACTACAGGAATTATATATTAAGAACCCCATAATATAACCCGAAAAAGTAACTACAATGGAGACTATAGGATTCGATGCTATTGCCAGGCAGCGCGGGAGGGGTCGGCTCCCTGCCCCACTTCGTAGCCCGGCAGAACAAAGGTCGATTCGAGTTTGTTGTTTTGTTATATAACCATTATATAGGGTTTAGGGTTTAGGGACTCTTAATAAGGACCCCTAGGTATATACCCTTAATATAGCTAATATATAATAACCATTATATAGGGTGGGGGGTCCCCATTAAGGGTCCCTCCTTTTCCCCTCTGAGTCTTGAAGTGTGGGACTTACTCCCTTCTGCAGTGCAAGTCCAAGGGCCTGCTGTCTCAGCGGCTACCCAGAGAGCCGAATACCCCTTAGTTAAGGAATCTAGCTTAGATCATAATATGAAGCCCTATATAATTTAAGCCATATTCCTTATTTAAGGGGTTGGGCTCTCTGGGTATTCCTAGAATTACATGGCATCAGAGCAGCACGGTCTCGAGGCTAGAAGCATCTTTGGCAAGAGCAGTGAGCGAGTTTGTTCCCGCAAGACAGGGGGCGAGAATTATTAGGTTTGGGGTCTGCCTGAACCCTGTTTCTTTAGGGCACCTTACTATGATTTCCTTATCAGAGCCCTTAGAAGCGTAGGTCTTGGGTTTATACATGTTTATGGTTCCTAAATCCTCAACCTTAAACCCCTAACCCCTGAACCCTAAACCCAACCCCTAAGTTCCAACCCCTAAACCCTATACCCTAAGCCCTAAACCCTTAGCCCTAAACCCCTAAACCCTAAACCTTAAACCCCTAAACCCCAAAGTTTCGATTACGTGAAGTCGCTACCTCCCCCAAAGCCCGAGGAGATGCTGGAGGTCCAGTTGGGTGAGATTCTGAACCAGGGGGGCAGCTGGGACTTGGACTTACCTTAACCCTGAAGGACCCACCTTTTTTAGGGTTCCTTGTTATGAATTTCCTTGTATAAGTCCTCAAAAAGGTAGGTTATTCCGGGTGCAGCTGGGACTTGGACATAGGGGCCTGTGATGGTTTAGGGCTTAGGGTTTAGGGTGTACTCGGACTTAGGGCTTATGATGGTTTAGGGCTTAGGGTTTAGGGCTGAGGATTGAGGGTTTAGGGTTGAGGGTTTAGGATTGAGGCTTTAGGGGTGAGGTTTTAGGGTTCAGGGTTGAGGGTTTAGGGTTTGGGGCTTATGAAGGGTTTGTTGTGGGGCGGTTATCGTGCTTCCTGCTGCTGCAGCAGCACCAAATGACGCGGGTAGGGGCAAACTGCGATTTTCTGAGGATATCTCGGTTTCCTCAGTCACTGTGTGTAGCTGTTACCTAGACCCTAAAAAGTAGGTGAAAAAAATGACCGAAAACCCAGAAGTTGCAAATTTTCAACATACTTTTGGGGTCCCGGTGCAGTAGTCGCAAAGGTCCTGCTCACCCTTGAATCTTAAAGGGAACTCCAGAAAGTTGGAATATGGTTTCAGGGTAGGATACCTTATAATTTACCATAAACCCTAAACCCTAAACCCGATAATCATATTCCAACTTTCTGGCTTTTACTTGAAGGCCCTGCAACATGACAGCTAACATCTAAACCAGAACCTTTGACTATGACGTCTGAATCTTTACTGAGATGCTTCGAAACGAGATGCTTCAGGTTTGGACTTTTCGGCTTGGTTGGGGCTATGGGAGTTCGGGACTTTAGAAACAATCGCGCCCTAGCAGTCTCGGGCGTGTGTCCAGCTTCAGCTGTGGCTCGTTAGGGCTTTGAAGATCGTCGTTTCCTGGAAGCCCGAGTCTCTGTCGAGGATACTGTCTTTAAGACTTGCTCGCAGCAACCCTATGTTTCGGGGTTATCGCCGTATTAGATGTAGCTGGGGCTTCTTGGAGTGCTGCTGCGTGCACTTGGCCCAGGCTTCAGTGTGGTGCACAAAGGCACCTGGCATGGCACAAAGGCCTGACATGCCCAGAGAGCCCAATACCCCTCAACTAAGGAATATACCTTAAATCATAATATCAAGGCCCCTATAATTTAAGGTATATTCCTTAATTAAGGGCTCAATATTATGATTTAAGGTATATTCCTTAATTAAGGGGTATTGGGCTCTCTGGGTGGTACTCCAGGTTTCTTTTGGGTTCAAGCGTCTTACCCCTTGCAAGGGGGTTTAGGGTTTAGGGTTTAGGGGTTTAGGGTTTAGGGTTTAGGGTCATGAGAGCTTCCCAGAGAGCCCAATACCCCTGATTTAAGGAATATGGCTTAAATTACATAGGGCTTCATATTATGATTTAAGGTATATTCCTTAATTAAGGGGTATTGGGCTCTTTGAGTTACACCTTCATCCGAAGACCCCGGCACACCCCAACCTCTAAAGTCATTAAGGCATTGGAGGTTCTGTGGCTTTTCGGGGTTTCAAGGTTCTAAGCCCTTGAACCCTACTTTAGGAGCCCTAAACCACACCCTACACCCTACAACCCACCTATTGTGGTTTCTGAGAGCGGACAGGAGAGGGACTAAGGAAGCAGATCACATCAAAGTGTTGCAATTGCTGCATTCCCCAAGGTGGGTCTCTTAATGCGCCACATCCAAACAGAGCGAATGGCAAGCTTTAACCACCTAAATGCCAACCCCCATTACCAAGCAAAAGCAACGCCCTCTACTTCAAGCCAGCGCCCTGAGAGAGGTGGCCGTAAAAAAGCTCTTCGATCCAAACATTTCTGCGGAGCTTCTCGCCGAGTTCGACAACGAAGTGCAGAAGCTCGAACTCTTGAGGCCTCTCTTACTTGGAGGGTCGGGGGACTTAGTAAGTAGGTAGTAAGTAGACTTATAAGTACCCTAAAAGGGACCCTAATTGGGGTTATGGTACTTATAATTCCCTAAAATAACCAGTTACTAAGTCCCCCGACCCTCCAAGTAGGGGTTCCTCTATTACAGGCAAACTTACAGGGTTCTTGAAGCAGGGGGCTTCATAATGGGCTTTGTGGAGTCTCCCAAAAGTTCCCTTGTGCATTTTGTGTTTTGGGGTTCTGGTGAAAAAGCTGTATAGCAAGAGAAATTTGAAAGCAGTGCCTTTATGCTTCCCAGCGTAAGACATGAGCCCCAGGACTAGAAGTACGTACAGAGCCAAAATGGCAAGATGCGTCAACTGTGAACCCTGGTGCGATTATGGGGCCGAGATAACTACAGTATTTCCTTGGGGGTGGCGCTCCCTAACTTCACATGCCTTGGACCCTCTAAGACCCGATAAAGAAAACAGCCGCAGGTATCGAAGCCTCAAAACATCGAAATTCACAGAAGACAGAACCCGCAAGACGCCTTCAGACCCGATTATGCTTTAGGGGTTTGTGGCTTCAGGGACTTTTCTGGGGGTCAGGGGTTGTCGGGCCTGGTGTCTAGAGTTTAGGATTTGGGAGTTTGAGTTCAGAGTTTGGGAGTTGGGGTACCTGGGTTTGAATAGGGTTTAGTGGTTAGGCAGTTCAATCCGAAGTTCCTGTCGGACATGGATGTCTGAGGCTTTAGAACTTCGGAGCTTTTTGGGTCATATTTTCCGGTTCGGAGCGTAAAGTATAGCAGCCTGAACAATTGCGTTGTGGTTCCTCAGGGTTCCTATACCCCCAATTTAAAAGACCTTTTTCTAATCATTAAGGCAGGCCGTGCATGGTTGACTCGGCCCGGCATGCTTTGTCTACGATGTTGGGAAGAAATACAGGGTGCTGAGCTACATGTAACTACTAATGCACCCATCTTATATATTCCCTGGACCCAAACTCAGAACCCTGGCCGCCCCATGCCGTCATGTTCCAGGCACCCGAACATCCTGATGGCGTTAGCTGTACATCGCAAGCCACCAGCACTGCCACTCAGCCAGCAGTGGCTTCGAGGGAAGTTTTGGGATTGCAGAGACGGTTCTCCCATCAGGCTGCGACCTGTCCCAGTATGTAGTCCGAACAGGGGAGCGGTAAGAACCCTTAGAAACCCATGAACCCTAAAGTACCCTTATAGAACCCTTAGAAACCCATAAACCCTATACTACCCTTATAGAACCCTTAGAAACCCATAAACCCTATACTGGCCTTATTCACTGTCAGGAGATTTGAGTTTCCAGAAAAGCAAACAGGGGAACATGGAAGAACCATTGAACATAGCAAATACGAGAACCATAGGACATACATCGGAGAAGCATCGGATAAAATGTTGGACAAGCAATGGTTGGAACTGCGAAAACCATAGAAAGACCGGGGCACAAGCAACCTACACAAGAGGAATGCCATTGAACAGCGTCAACGGTTTCTTTGTTTCTGGTCACATATGAAAGAAAGAGCAACATATGAGAGAACAGCATACAACATGGTAGACAACATAGAAACATTCGGACAGCATAGGCCGACGACAAGGAACTACGGAACAACAAACAACAAATTAGCTCGTATGGAAAACTCCAGAAAGTTGGAATATGGTTTCAGGGTAGGATACCCTATAATTTACCATAGAAGGGTTAGGATAATCATATTCCAACTTTCTGGCTTTTACCTTAGGTAAACCGGTAGACCATAGACAATCGCTGCTGAGTTCCTATGCTCCCTCGTGTTTCCTAAGTAAGCATGAAGGTAGGACAAAAACACTACTAGGATGCCCAGTAGTACCCTTATTCCCTTTTTGTAGTCCTAGGTTCCTTATAAAGTTACCCAATACCAAAAAGAGAGGCCTTTTTATTCTTAGGTTACTGGGTATCCTAGACTAGTAAATCAGTGCTAAAACAATCTAGAGAAGGAGAAGAATCGGAAACCCACACAGGGTAATATCACGAGAAACATAGGAACGCTTCGGACAACTCGGTCTATAGTCCCTTATAGGAACACTTACGGATCCCTTTAAAGGAACCCCTAATCCCTAAAAGGCGGATTGGAGGTGCTGGCTCTATAGCCAACCGAGCAACTGGCAGTGGCATGAACACCAGTGGCTAACCTAGGACCATGGTTTTGGTTTGCCTTGACTTTCCAACTGTCCTATGTCTGTACCAGTTGTGTCGTCTCTTTCTCTTGTTTGTATCCTATGTTTTCTCCTCCGTATGTCCTGTTTTCCTGTGTATTTCCGATGTTTCCGATGTCTTAATGCCTAAACCCTAAACCCTAAACCTCTTACCCAAATACTGGGTGGGACTTCTGATGGAAAAAGGCCCCAACACACTATTTAAAAAAAACAAAAACCTCTTACAGTACTTTACCTTAAGGGCGTGAGGGCAGTGATGTTCCAACTTTCTGGCTTCTACTGTATAACTTATAATGCGTTGCCAACCTGGTTCCACGTCCTCTGCACTTCCTCAGAGAGCCGGGAGCTGAGAGCTGGACCTACCCAAAGGATCCTAGGTAATGTTATGGGGAATACTTCCGCAACTCATAATGGTAGTTCCTATTAGGGTTTAGGGTTTAGGGATTTTGGGTATACTTCCCGAAATCATAATTGTAATTCCTGACATAGAAACCCTACATTCTACTATATCAGGTACTTCGGACCCTTTGGGTTACAAAACCGGACTGTGAGGTCCCTAATCATGGAGATGGTGGATGGTGGATCGTACTACCAACTCCTACATGCATCTCGGCCATTCTCGGTGTTCCTTGGGTATCCGTTTTCAATGTTGTGTCATCGTATGCGCCCATAATGTGGCTTGTAGAAACATGTTTTTCCAAGTCAAAGAGTCAAAGAGGCTTACGGCCTTAGCCGAGGGCTTATCAGTTTGTTGTTTAGGGCTGGAAGTGTTCCAGGGGCTCGGGGGTTCGGGGTCGGCGGGTGATGTGTCTAGGGCGTTGGAACTCATGATGGAATTTCTGAGTTTTTGAGGTTCTGGTTTGTAGGAATCCTGCATTCGTGAGGTTTTCTTGGTCCAAGTATCCGAATAACCCCTTTAATTCTGACGGCGACGCACAAGAGTTGTGAAACATGGCACAAAGCTTACCTTTGGTTAGTAAGAATGGTAGTAATAGTAGTTATAACTGTACCCCATTCCTCCATTCCCTACTAACCAACGGTAAGAAAGAACACAAGCCACGGAACGAAACCACGTTTTTCTGTTTCTCTGAACCTCGCTCTTCAACAAATGGGAGTTTCCAAAAATTAGGGTACCTTATTTTGGGGCCCCTAGAATCAGAATCCTACTATTTGGGGTACTATATTAAAGTCCCCTATTTTCGGAAACTCCCAAATACTACATAGGGGCTTTCATAGTTTCCTATACTATGTTTGGGGAGGTTCCTCATAAATGGGCCCCAACACCCTATTCTCATTGCATTATCATGGCCACTATATTACATAAACTTGCATGCCACGGTGTTCGTACCTTCATGCCAAAGTAGACCATGGGTGCGAAGTCGCCGAGCCTCAGATTGCAGAATAAACGTAGAAGTGGGAGTTTCCGAATATTAAACGGTACCATAGTGTCGGCCCCTATAATAAGGATCCTACTATTTGGGGTACTATATTAGGGTCCCCTATTTTCGGAAACTCCCAAGTGCACAACGAAGAGGCTGAAAATTCTCTATAAATTAGGGTCCGAGACAAGGGTGGCGTACTCTCTTGGACGTGACCCTAACACATGGATCTATGAAATCTCCATTGTTATTCCCTTTCTGGGGGGTTACCTCTTATAAAGTTTAGTATCCTGAACCCTCACTATATACTGTATATAATTGGTTCAACTAAACAAAGGAGCTACAATGGAGACTCCAGGTAGAGTCCTTTTTGGGGGCTTACCTTTTGTAGGATCCTGGACCCTAACTGTATATAGTTGGTTCCATTAAACACAGGGTAGAGTTTAGGTACGGCCCCCATACAGTAAGAGTCTATAATAGGGCTACTAGTCAGGTCCTACTATATCTATATTATGAATATTAGTCAACTAAACCCTAAACCCTAAATCCTAAACCCTAAACCCTAAACCCTATTACTGAGCGGGGGCCGTACCCAAGGTAGAGTCGAGTACGTACCCGAACCCCCAAACTTCAGTCTCCCCGTTACGAACTTCAAGCGGATTATTTCAAACACTCAAAGGGGAAAAGGAGGGACCCTTAATGGGGACCCCTACCCTATAATGGGCTATATAATGGGTATATATAATAGCTATGTTAAGGGTATATACCTGGGGGTCCTTATTAAGGGTCCCTCCGTTTACCCTTGGAAACACGCATCCTCTGAACGCGGGCTCTATGCCCCAAGACCTTGACACTCATCCTATCCGAAACCCTCAACCCTGAACCCTAAACTCCCAACCCTAATGAGGACCCCTAGGTATTACGGTATATACCCATAATATAGCCGTTATATACCCTAAGCCCAAGACTCTCCACATAAGCCCTGAGCCCAAAACCCTAACCCCGAACCAAAGCCCTGAACAATTTGGCCAAAGCCCTACCTAAACACTGCTTCCATAATCCTAAACTCCTACCTAGACCCCCTAAAGTACGTAAAATAACAGAAAACAACATACCCCAAAGCCTATAATAGGCTATACATCTACATACTTTTGGGGTCGGTCCAGGCGAACCCCAAGCCCAAAGCTTTACTGACCCCACAACCCTAAGCCCTAAACTCCGCCAGTAGCTCTCCGCTCCTCCACCCCCAATGCCAGAGGCGCCCCATCAGTTCAATTCCGCCACGGGCCCGGTGCGCTCCCTCACCTTCAAAGAGCGTCCGGGCCTATCTTATCGACGCGTAGGGTTGAGGGATGTTTTTTATATACGGTCTAGGTTTACCCCAAGGGTCCAAGTATCTAACAATCATATACCCTCCAAAATCCTAACTTACCTAACTACTAACCTAAAACCGAGTACCTAATTATTGGGTCCTTTGGACCCTTGGGGTTAGGGTTTAGGGTTTGGTTTATTGTACCGGTCTGCTAAACCATGGGAAGCCGTTGACAGGGTTTGCGGTTTAGTTTTTGGGCCTACTTGAAGCATCAACGGGTTTGCTCCTAATGCTAGCAACTCGCCAGAAACATGGCATCAAGTATATTTGTTGTATGAGCTACATACGTAGTTGGTGACAGAGCCTAAAGCATGCGTTAATCTAGGATATTGTCTTTGCCGTACCTTACTGGATGCATGCACCGAAATACGCCACATGTTTGGTAAGCTTGTTATCAGACAGATCCCGAGGTTGAGGATCTTGGGTTTGGGCTCTCAAAGGCAATTAATGTTTCAGAACTTACAGCGAAGATGGACAGCACTCAACGCTTTTACATATATGAGAACCATAACTAACAGGCAACAAGGAGAATTCTTGCCGCCATCTGACGTCTTTGGTGTCTGCATCAGTGCAAGGAACATGAGCATCCTCGATGCGACGGCCACAGCGATGGCTTTCCTGCATGCTCGGGGCATTGCGCATCGAGACATTAAGTCTCACAATGCCCCGCGGCCAGAAACGCAGCCCCGCCCTGGTGCCTGTCTGGGTTCTTAGGGAGGGACTTGCCGGATGACGGGATATTGTAGCAAAATGGTATCTGTGTCCCTATCTTGGCAGCTTTGATTTGATCAAGCTCATAGTGACAACCCGGGTTCAGAGGTTTTGTTCCCTGCCCTGTCTATAGTCTCCATTGTATATTAAGGATCCCATGAGGTAACCCCCAAAAAAAGAATTACAATGGAGACTGCAGGTAAATCCGAAAAAAATCTGAGAGTTGTTCACGCATGTTTGTGTCACTACGAGTGGGGCATGACCAACATCCCAAAGATGAAGCGCATCCCAGCGCCGTTTAGGGTTTACGTCTTTCGTTTGGTGTTCAGGGTGCATGCATAATATGGGGCAACCAGGCAACCCTGACATGTCAAGGCATCAAGCGAAGCAAAAAGACAAGCAGAGCTCAACAAACCCAGGCACTCAGCAACCCATCCTTCGCATACTGATAAGGAGATCATACGCTATACGATACTGTAGTATGCCATACTAAACTGAAGTATACCGTACTCAGATGTAGCTTGACTTATCATGAAAGTGATAGTTAATCCATCCATGCATCCCCCCTTCAGTCAAAACTGTCAGCCCCGAACCCGTCAGCTCAAAACCCAACGCGTTCAACGGCCCTCAATCAAACTCTACCTGTACCTCCAAACGCCACAGAATAGTAGGTTATGACCCTTTATACTTACAGGGCATCGGTATAACCCTTAAAACGGTAGGTTGTTGGAGCCCAAGGTAACCCCTGGCACCCGGAACCCGATCTCTTTTCCGAGAAAAGCCCAAGAAAGCAGCTTGGTGGGAGTTTCCGAAAGTAGGGCACCCTAAATATAGTACCCTAAATCGTAGGAACCTTACTACAAGGATCCCAAAAGAGGGTATACCCCCTAATTCTCGGAAACTCCCAGGTGCTCCTCTCCCCGCACCTCGAGGTCGGACTTCTCTGTAGGCCCTAATATAGGGGCCTTTTTAATGAATGGAAGGGTTTAGGGTTTAGGGTTTAGGGTTTAGGTCCAAATAACCTACCTTTTTAGGGACTTATGTAAAGAAATCATATTAGGGAACCCTAATAAAGGTCGGTTCCTGAGCAGGTCCAGGTAGTATTGGGGCCTTGAAAATGAATAGAACTGGGTTCCTGTAAAGGGTTCCTTATAAGGGGTCTATAAGGGTTACTATAAGGTGATCTGTAAGGGTTTAGTAAGTGCAGTGTAATATAATACCTACAGTATCCATCGTAGTTCGCTTTCGGGCGTGACTATATAGTCCCTTAATTATGAAGTTGGTTAAGCCACCCTCAAAAGAGAAGAGCTACAAGGAATACTATGGGTGAACCTTGAAACTAGCCTTCGATGATAAAACCAATCCCGAAAACCGCTGAAGCTTCTACAGGGCTTGTAGGATTCAGGTTGTAGCAACCCTTCGAGGTTGGGGTTCAGGGCTTTAGCATTAAAGCCTGAAGCTTTACGCCCCTAATTCAAGCTTAGGTTCCGATGCTTCAAGGTCTCAAGCCCCAAAGGATTGTTTGCAGAGTCGGATCGGGCCAGATCGGGGCTTCCCTAAACCCCCGTAAACCCTAATAAGCGAGTTTAGGGGTTCAGGGTTTAGGGTGTAGGGGTTCAGGGTTTAGGGGTGTAAGGGTTTAGGGGAACTGCTTAGAGGCTTTCTTGGCGACCCTGGGTCAAGAACCCACAGCTCCACGAAACTGTTTCGGGTTTCGGGCGAGGTGGACGAGGTACTGGTGGAGGAAATGCCCATCAAATTGTGGACGGAGGAGGGGTGGAAGAAGGAGCCACTGTCCAAAACCATCAATGGTAGGGAGAGCCTCCAAAACCCCTTAACTAAGGAATATACCTTAAAGTAGTAGGATCCATAATACGCTTTAAGGTATATTCCTTAATTAAGGGGTTTTGGAGGCTCTGGGTAGGGGGTACAAGCGTCCAGAGAGATGGGACCTTAAGATGATCCGGCGGGCAGAGCCCGGGGTCGAGGGGCAGTTGCGATTTCAGTGACAACTGGTCCAAGGTGGAAAAGACCCAGAGCCTCCAAAACCCCTTAATTAAGGAATATACCTTAAATCATATTATGGATCCTACTATACTTTAAGGTATATTCCTTAATTAAGGGGTTTTGGAGGCTCTAGAAAGGGGGACGAAGATCGTCTCGGACTCGACCCTGCGAGGACAGGCACATGGCGGTTTTCGAGTTGCACCTCTTCCTTGCAGCTTGGTGCTGTGCACTGTTGCCTGCTGCGATCTCACCGCCACATGGACTTGCCCTAGCATGGGATCCCTGGGTTCAACCTCAACCGATCCACAGGTCATCATGCCACTGGCGACAGTGTTGAAAGTCAACAGCCGCGGCATTGGCTTGCTGCCGCGGGTAAAAGGGAGGCATCCGCTCGTGCTGATTGCATCCGGACATGAACCAGCTGTCCCAGGGCGAGGGTCACATGCACCACTTCGACGGTGACCCTCGAAACAATCGGCTAGAGAACCCAGAGCCTCCAAAACCCCTTAATTAAGGAATATACCTTAAATCATATTTTGGATCCTACTATACTTTAAGGGGTATATTCCTTAATTAAGGGGTTTTGGAGGCTCTGGGAAGCTAGCCCCGAAAGACCACCTGAACCAACATGGAGCTGAAGGTGGGAGGCTTGGAAATCCAACACTGTCGTTTGGGGTAGTCTCTGACTCATGCAGTATGTAAAGGCCAGAACATTGATGAAACTTGTTCCTCAGCATTCCGAAACAATTTGCGACAATATTTGCCACAACCTTTCTCTGATTCATAAAGCCCATAATGGCCCATAATGTATGACTAGATAGAGCCCCTAAGCCCGCAGGCCCCCTGTTATGGGATTCTTAGGGGAGGGCGTTCTAAGAGGGGAGTGTACTAGGGAACTTTAGGGAGCACGAGGGAGAATATGGGATTATAGAGGTTACATACCCTCCTTGAATCCCCCTCCCTTAAGAACCCCCCCCTAAACCCTCAACCCGAATCCTCCCTTAAGAACCCCAAAACCATGGGGGACGGTCCAGGTGAAGCTCTGCGACTTCGGCCTTGCAAAACTGACACTTCGGCTAGCTTTGTTTTTGGGGGGGTGTGTAAGAGGTTTAGGGTTTATGAGTTTGGGGCAATTATAGGGTTTAGGGCCGTTTAGCGTTTAGTGCGTTCGGAGTTTTGGGGTTCAGGGGTTTAGGGTTTGGAGCTTTCGGCTTTGGGGCCGTTTAGCGTTTAGTGCGTTCGGAGTTTTGGGGTTCAGGGGTTTAGGGTTTGGAGCTTTCGGCTTTGGGGTTAAGGACCTTAAGTTTGAAACACTTCTTTCGATCGCGGGGTATTCCACAGAGGTTGCTGCAACAGGATCTGCGTGAACCCTATTAATTCCGAGACCCCTTCTCTCGGTACTGCCCCTAAACCCTAAACCCTAAACCGATGGTGGTGGAGGTGTTAGTACCGGATCGGTTGGCTTCAGAAGCCAACACAACCAAAGCGGCGATCACGGGCACGGCGACCAAAATCCTCCTCGTACCCTCTTACAGGTATGGATGAGTTTCTGATTTTTTTAATTCTATTTGTCAATCAACATCAGTGAACTTATTGGTATTGTTCTTATTTTTGTTAACTCAATGCTACTATGTATTGTTACTATTGTTATTGTGATTGTTGTTGTTCTTCTTCTTCTTCTTATGATGACTTTTACTACTACTCCTCCTCCTCCTCCTCGTCCTCCTCCTACTCCTACTACTACTACTACTACTACTACTACTACTACTACTACTACTACCACTACCACTACCACTACCACCACCACCACCACTACTACTACTACTACTACTACTACTACTACTACTACTACTACTACTACTACTACTACTACTAGTACTACTACTACTACTACTACTACTACTACTACTACTACTACTACTACTACTACTACTACTACTACTACTACTACTACTACTACTAATGTTGATGACATAAATCTTGCATTACCCTAATGATCCTAAACTATGGGAATTATGGTATATTCCTTATTATGGGTAGTGCAGGATTTATATTATCAACCGTATATACCCTGAGCCATGGGGGGAGCCCATTAGCAGGCTGGGAGCGATGAGTGGGAGAGCCGTTGCCCAGAGACTCCAAAACCCCTTAATTGAGGAATATACCTTAAATCATGTTATGGATCCTACTATATTTTAAGGTATATTCCTTAGGGGATATTGGAGTCTCTGGGTATGCTCGGATAGAAGAAGCCCAGGCCTTGCAAAATGCCCGAGGGTTTAGGGGTTTAGGGGTTCCGGCGTTTAGGGGTTTAAGGGTTTTAGGGTTCAGGGATTTAGGGTTCCGGGGTTTAGGGGCTAGATGGGTTTAGGGGTTTAGGGGCCTGGGGATCCAAAAAAGTCGACTGTTTTAGGGGTTCGACCCTATAATGACGGGGTCGCACACACATACGTACTGTTTTGTAGGGTTTGCGGATACAGGTATACCTTATAGGTAGGATCTCTAGATCCTACTATGGTTGCAGGTATATGAACAATGAAGGGATGGCGGATTCGAAGGTCTTGCAACTTCAGACACAGTTCGATTGCCCGAAGCTTGAAACCCTGAACGTTTCAACCCTGCAGCCCCAAACCCGTAAGCCCTAAGCCCCAAACCCAACCCTAAACCCTAAAACCAATAAACCCCAAGCCCCAAAACCCAAACCCAACACCCCTAAGCTAAACCCTCGACAATAAGCCCAGCACCCTTGACTCTAGACCGCTAAGTTCGGGGAGATTCCATGTCCTGCTGAGGAAGTCGGAGCTGATGACTGGAAGCATGCAGTGGCCCGCCATGACTTACCAAAAGGATGCGAGATGTTTTTGTTGTGGTTTAGGGCTTGGTGTTTGAGGTGTGGGTTTAGGGTTTATGTTTAGGGCTCTTGGAGTGTGGGTTTAGGGTTTAGATGTTTAAGGCTTAGGGTCGGCAATCTTAGTTGCTTAAATCCAAAAGTCTGTAGTCCTGAAGCTTGTTCAGGTCGGTGCGCAGGAAATTTGAAAACTGTAAACGATGCACATTTTCAATCGTAGAGCGGTTGTTGAGCTTCATCGTTTGAACTGTTTTGCTTGTGGATCAGACCCAAGGGTGTTGACAAAAATCACAGTGCAGCCCCAGACCTCGAAATCTTCTGCACCCTGAGTGTCGCAATCGCATGCTAAGCCCAGGAAGCACAACATTGAGCTTCCGAGCTTAGACTTGTGGCACTTTGAACCCTAAACCGTCGACACCTTGAGACTCGCAGCCCATCGGACTCCATCCATACATGCAAAGATACAACCGGCGCCAAAACCAAGCGAGCCCTGCACTTGGCCACCGTAGAGCACCGTCTTGTCAAAACGGGCGTAACCCCGAACCCTAGAGCCTCTTTGGAGAGCAAAAAAGCTGTTCAGTTTCCCATTGTTTAGGGTTTAGGGTTGCATCGTGCACTTGATGATGATACTTGTAAGACCTCGGCTGCCAACAGCAAGAAGCTTGCTTCATCTCGGCCCGCCTAGCTGAGATGGACACATTTTAAGACTCACATGTATTGCCATAGCTGCGTAGTCATTGTCATGACTCATAACCCTAAACCCCGAAACCCGAAACCGCCCAGGTTTGCGGGCACGCCGAACTACATGGCTCCCGAAGTCTTTCGCAATGCCAAATACACGGAGCCCTGCGTGGTTTAGGCTGCAACTGTTAGCTTGTCTGTTGGGTTGGTTCAGACTTTGGCGTCTAGGTGTTTCTCGTTTTGGCTTAAGTAGGGCTTCAGTTTTGGCTTTTGGTTTTTGCGATTTGTGGGTCGTAAAGTCGTTGGTCCAAAAAATTTAACAGTCGAAACCTGATCCAAAACAAGCGCTGTATTTAATGTGTGGATTCCTGGGGCTGAACTGCCTCAATCGCCAAGGGGCTGTCGAATTCGGTTCTAGTTGGTGCCGTGTTGCGACTGGTTTTCACTCCAGACCCGAAGCTCACAACCGGAAACACACAGACCTCAAGAGGAGAGCGTGGACGTCTTTGCCTTCGGCACACTTCTTTGGGAGGCGATGGCCAATGACATCCCCTTTGCACGAGGCTCAGAGTGCAGTGCGGAGTCAGAGGCAGATCCCGGCCTTTACTTAGGGCTGCTGTTTGGATTTTACGGTTCAGGGTTTAGGATTTTTAGGGCGTTCGGTGTTTAGGGTTTTAGGGTTTTAGGGGCAGCCTCAACAATAAGGGCGGCATGAGCCTGTTCTATGGCCCTCATACCCGCATCCACGTGCGTGTGTGTGTGTGTGTTGCGCGTGTGTGTCGGGATCTGTATGAAAGGGTGTTTATCTTGACAGCAACTTACATGTCCAGTTCTGTGATTGCTAGACTTGTTGTTATGCAGAACAAGATGTACCACAAGACCGCAAACCCTAAAGCCCTAAAGCTCAGATGCCGGACAACCTTCAGTTCCAAACTTACCGCAAGCCCTGAAGAATGCTGTAAATGCGTCTCATATTCCTCACGAAGAGGCAGGTGGTCATCGGGGGTCGCAGCAAAGGGTAGTTGGAGCTGACCCTATACCCAGCCCCAGCGCCCCACCCCGAACAGAAGAAAACAAGCCCCCATGCATTAAAGCAGAAGCACGAGCCCTAAACCCCTCAACCCCTAAACCCCTAAACCCCCGAACCCCAAAACCCCTAAACCCTAAACCTCAAACCCCTCAACCCCTAAACCCCAAAACCCCTAAACCCTAAACCTCAAACCCCTCAACCCCTAAACCCCTAAAGCCCCAAACCCCTCAACCCCTAAAGCCCTAAACCCCTAAACCCTAAACCCCTAAACCCTAAACCCCTAAACCCCTAAACCCTAAACCCCTCAACCCTAAACCCCCAAACCCCCCAAAACCCCAAAACCCTGGTCTACGCCACTTTGTCCACGGTCCGAGGCGAACCTCGATCCGGCAGATATCCGGGAGCGCGTCCTTGAAGGTGGCTACCCACCAAGACCCTCCTTGTACCCTCAAATATGGGTATATGGTCTCAAATAAAGGGCATTCAGGGTAAAAATAGAGGGTAGATGGAGGGTCTAGGTATAGTGCTACCTATGGTAGATGGACCATTTGACTCCTCATGCCCTTAAGGTAAAGTATAAGGGATCCTAGCAGTAATCCTCCTAAAGCCATGTTCCAGCTTTCTGGCTTCTACTGTATAGTCTCCATTAGTAGTTCCTTTTTTTGGGGTTAACCAGTTTTATGGTTAGGATCCCATAATGGAGTTTTTCGTTGACCAAGAAATGAACTACAATGGAGACTACAGCTAGGGCTTCAGGGGTACGTTTTAGGGTTGCTTGAAGGGATCTACAGGGATGTCTTGATGAAGGCGCAATAGTATGGGGTTTAGGGTTTCGGCTTTGATTTCGGGCTTCAGGGCTTTGGGGTTTAGAGTTTGGTGATTTTTGGCTTTAGGGCTTGTAGTCCAGGGTTTCCGGGGTCATAGGGGTCTGAGTCTAGGGTCAGGAGGTTGTTTTGGTCGCCTTTGTGTGCGAAGCCTTTTGTTGTTTAGGGTTTACACCACCTGTCAGTGCTTAGGTCAAGGATTCTACTTTTCATGGTCGGTATGATGGCAGACTTTTTCCGAGACAGCCACTTACTTGTCGGTACCACCTCTGAGGCTTCTTGAAGTTAATCTTGAATCTCGTAGACCTTGTTTATTAGGGCCCTATTATATTGCTGTTATACCACTATTACAGGGTGGGGGCCCCCTTCTAATGCATGAGTGTAGATGCTTTAGCTAGGGGTGTTTGTTGTCTTCAGAAGTTTAGAGCTCTGCCCAGAGAACCCAATACCCCTTAATTAAGGAATATACCTTAACTTATAGAGGCCTTAATATTATGATTTAAGGTATATTCCTTAATTAAGGGGTATTGGGATCTCTGGGTGGTTTAGGTTTCCACCCGTTGGCCCAATTATGCAACTTGATTAATATGGGCTGTTTGTAAGTAGTAGCTGGAGCCGTTTATCGCACTAATACGATGCATGATAGTACCGTATACCGTAAAGATCCCTGTTACAATTGCGGCCCCCATACCCTTAATCTTACCTCTGGTGAGTAGGAAATGGAAGAATGGTAGTAATAGTAGTTGTAATTGTACCCCATGCCTCCATTCCCTACTATCCAAAGGTAAGTTGTGGCCTTAATTCAACCTTGCAGGACCTGTGTCGAACCCTTCTAAGAATCCTTATCGAAAACCCATTATCTTCATTAAGGCCCCTGGAATTCCCACAGCAAGCATCCAGCCCATGCCAAACTAGAAAGTCAGAAAGGTCTCCAGTGTGCAACGTAGATTCTCCGACAGCGAAGTATCTCTAGTATAAGGTTACGACAGGGCTTGTGTATAGCGGACCGAGGCCAAATGCTGGAAATGCCCTCTTTGGCACCCCGAGAAGTGCAACAGCTGATTCGCAGCTGTTGGACCCTGGACTACAAGGCCATCGGTTTGGAAGGGCGGTGGAAATGTGGGATTCAGAGCACTTCGAAGAGGGCTCGGAGGCTCTTTGATGGTATAGTCATACAGTGCGGTGTAAGTTGATGTGTGCACACTGCTCACATTCTGAGCACATGTCGCATGTCTATGTGTGTTCGTGAGGATTTTGATATTCGAGTTTGCTGTGGACGTGCCAGGTGCGCGGATAAGGTTTTGGGGTTTCTAAACCCAAAACCCTCCAAGCATGCAGGGTCTGTGCCCTTAACCCTAAACCCTAAACCGTCTGTGCTGCACAGGTGCGCCCAACCATGCCAGAAGTGCTTCAGTCGCTGCGGTCTTGCCGTGATGCAGACAAGGCACGGTGCCCATGCGGAACACCCAAATCCCTTACCTATAAGTCTCCATTGTATTTCTTTTCTTGGAGGTTTCTTTTTGGGATCCTTAATAAATAATTGGTTAAACCAAACAAAGGAACTACAATGGAGACTATAGGTAAGGTTTAAATGGTTCTTGTGTTACTTTCGGAGGTGGAGGCGGTGTTTAGTCAAATCCAACTCAACGTCACCGACGCAAAGGTTTTCGAGTTCGGAAGGATGATTTTGCCATCGATTAGGTAACTAGGTAGCATTTCGCAGCTGCATAGCTGAAGCATGGAACTTCCCAGAGAGCCCAAGACCCCTTAATTAAGGAATATACCTTCAATTGTTTAGGGCTTCGTATTATGATGTAAGGTATATTCCTTAATTAAGGGGTATCGGAAACCCTAATCCCTATAGATCCCTTTTAGACCCCTTTAAAAGGAACCCTAGGTATATTCCTTAATTAAGGGCTATTGGACTCTCTGGGTCCAGTACTGCCCGATGGCTTTGGGCCGCAGGGGGGAAGGTAGGGCCCGAAATCCGACCCACAACGAATAGGAAAATCAGGCCCCTTGGACGATTTAGGGTCGAGGGTCTAGGGTTTAGGGTTTAGGGGTTTAGGGTTTAGGGTTTAGGGGTTTAGGGGTTTAGGGTTTAGGGGTTTTGGGGTTAGGGGTTTAGGGTTTAGGGTTTAGGGGCCCCTTAGTGGAATATTGAATGCTGGGCGGTCTGAAGAGTGTTACAGTTGAGCTATCGTGATAACTGGGACATGCCAACTTTCAAGCTGTTGGGCCGGGTTGCTAAGGGTGTTGTGCGCGACCGGCACATCGTGGACACAACTCTTCCTTACTGTTTTGCCTGTAGACTGAAGTGATGCGATGCCAAGGCCACGATAGCGGTCTTCCCGCTAGTATTATCAAGCCTTGTGAACCATATAAATGCCCTAGACCCTAAACCCCGAAACCCCTAAATTAAACCCCTAAGCCCCCAAACCCCCAATCCCCTAAACCCCTGAACCCCTAAACCCTAAACCCCTAAACCCCTAAACCCTAAACCCTAAACCCCTAAACCCCTAACCCCCCTATACACTAAACCCCTAAACCCTAAACCCTTAAACCCTAAACTCTAAACACCTAAACCCTTAAGCCCTAAATCAGGCTCCCAGGCGGCCGGTAACGGCACATGGCGTGCGGCCTGGGGCAGGAAGACTGGACTAAGGCGCGGCATGGCCCTGGAAACCTATTTAGCCAACCTCATAAAAAGGGCGAGGGCGGCGGGGGGGGGGGGGGGGGGGGGCGGGGTCCTACCTGGTTTCATATTTATCTACACATCCATCTATCTATCGGTCTCTGTCTCTCTCTCTCTCTCTCTCTCTCTCTCTCTCTCTATTTCTTTGTTCCTTCCTTCATTTCTCTCTACATGCGTGCAGTCATGTGGTTCTGTAGCCTTCAAGAATAACCTCAAGCCGCAGCTGCGAAAGCCACCTACACCGGAAACACCGACGCCTTTGAAGACGAAGCAGAAGATGATGATTAAAATTCTTCAACACCCCTAGTCTCTTCTATTGGGTATTGCTACTACTCGGAAGTTGTTGTTGTTGCTGTTGTGGTGGTGGTGGTGGTGGTGGTGGTGGTGGTGGTGGTGGTGGTGGTGGTGGTGGTGGTGGTGGTGGTGGTGGTGTTGGTGGTGGTGGTGGTGGTGGTGGTGGTGGTGGTGGTGGTGGTGGTGGTGGTGGGGTTGGTGTTGGTGTTGGTGTTGGTGTTGGTGTTGGTGTTGTTCTTCGTTGCTGATTTTCTTACGTTCAATGTTCTTACTCACTTATAAGTTCACCCCCCCCCCCCCCACGTAGTACTTGTTTCCAGGCCCGTATGCCCCCTTTCGAAGGTGTGCAGACAGTGCTTCCGCCGGCAGAGAGACGCCGATCAGCTCTTTGCGTTTAGGCTCAGGGGGTTCGACTTGTGGGCTCAAGTTTTTCATGGGGGTTTGTAGAAAAGAGAGATGCCAAACAGTAAGCATGGACCCTCCAGGGTCGAGTGGGATCCTCATTATCGGCCCCGAAATAAGCTACCCGCTAAGTTTAGCATGGGTTTTTCGGCTCTTGGCTGAAAGCCAAAGTAGTCGCCGATCTCGGATCAGTTCCTTGGAAGGCGTTGAATCCACGAATTCGGCTGATGAGCATCGCCGTGAGAGAAAAGGCGCGATGCTTGACCCCCCTCCCGGCCAGTTCGTACACTCCAAACCCCGAAGCCCTGAACCTGAAACCCTTACACCCCGAAGCCCTAAACTCGGATCTTGCTGAAGGAGCCCATCCTCCTGAGCTCTTGAAGCATCCTTCTCGTGATGATGCACATTAGGACCGGTGACTGACCATAAACTTGGCAGCCCAACTACGGTAGCTACATTATACCCGGCATGCCTCTTGACCCTTCAATCGTGAGTTGCAGCGGAACCCTGAAATCCCTTGGCCTTGATCGGTGGCCACCAACGCTTGTTCTGCACCCTACGCGCTGTATTCAAAAGCAGCCCACCTTGACCCCCCAAACCCTTTCGCATCATCCTCAAATTAAATCCAGGTCTTTGAGCGACCGGCATCGGAGCCATCATTTGTTGAACTCGCGCTCCCTAGCTGGAGAAGGCTCTGCTACTGCACCCCGAGCTCGAAACTCCCTCAAAGCCCCGATCCCAAACCCTACATCCCAAAGCCCTAAACCCAAGTCCTAAAAAAAGTCTTCATGAACCCTACGTGTTCTTCCACCTATACAGTAGATCATTCGCTCTGATGTGCCCACATAGCAACTTCTGAGAGGCCAAAGTATATTCTATTAAGGTATATATTCTATATACATAGAGCCACGGGGAAAGACGACTCCGTACTGCCGAGGCTGGATGGATGCTTCCGTCTGGACGTTTCTCGCATGCTGCAGGCTGCTCGGAACGGTATTTGTGCATATGGGGATTCAAGGTTTATTGGGTTTGGAGGTTTTGCAGCACCTGGTCATCGCAATTCTGCCAACATGGAATTGTAAATCTCAGGTTCTGCCCTCAGTTACCCCTTAAACTACCCAAACCTACCGTGTTCTATTCACTAATTAACATGGAATTTATACGGACCCTGAGGAGAAGTACGTTTTGGCAGCTCAAGAGACGGGTTTCAAATCCGAAACCCGACACCAAAAGAAAACCTAAGCGCAGAGGCTGACATCACCTTCGAGCGATTGGAGGCTTGGGCATGGGATCGTGACAGCTTTTCGGTGGAATCCTGGTTGAGGGGCAAGGGCCCGGGGTGTGGGATGTAACGTTTGGGGTGTAGGGTTTAGTTTAGAGCTCAGGGGAGTTCATGATGTGATGAAAGCAACGAGCATTCTAGCTCCCAAGACAATGGGCCGAGAGTGACAGAGATTGTGGACGGTAAGGGATTCCTTACTTGGAGGTTCATGGGTAGTTATAAGTTACCCTACTCTTATCTACCCTAAACTCTAAGCCCCTATACCCCTATAGAATTCCCATAGATCCCTTTAAAGGGGCCCTTAGAGGGACCCTGAGGGGCTTTTGTCTACCCATGAATCTCCAAGCAATGTCATAACTACCCTAAACCCTAAACCCTACAGAACCCTTAAAGTTGCCTTAAAGGAACCCTAAAGCCTAAAGCCTAATAACCCCGCTTTAGTACTACCCATGAAGCTCCAAGTAATACTACCCTAAACTCTAAACCCTTATACCCTTCTAGAATCCCTATAGATCCCTTTAAAGGGGCCCTTCAAGGAACCCTTATATCTTTATTACTACCCATGAAGCTCCAAGTAGGCTATAACCCCTACACCCTTCTAGAATCCCTATAGATCCCTTTAAAGGAACCCTAAACCCTAATAACCCCACTTTATATCTACACATGAAGCTCCAAGTAGGCTATAACCCCTACACCCTTCTAGAATCCCTATAGATCCCTTTAAAGGAACCCTAAACCCTAATAACCCCACTTTATATCTACACATGAAGCTCCAAGTAGGCTATAACCCCTACACCCTTCTAGAATCCCTATAGATCCCTTTAAAGGAACCCTAAACCCTAATAACCCCACTTTATATCTACCCATGAAGCTCCAAGTAGGCTATAACCCCTACACCCTTCTAGAATCCCTATAGATCCCTTTAAAGGAACCCTAAACCCTAATAACCCCACTTTATATCTACACATGAAGCTCCAAGTAGGCTCCAACCCCTACACCCTCTAGAATCCCTATAGATCCCTTTAAGGAACCCTAAACCCTAATAACCCCACTTTACTACCCTTATGAATCCCTATAGATCCCTTTAACCCCTACACCTTCTAGAATCCCTATAGATCCCTTTAAAGGAACCCTAAACCCTAATAACCCCACTTTATATCTACACATGAAGCTCCAAGTAGGCTATAACCCCTACACCCTTCTAGAATCCCTATAGATCCCTTTAAAGGAACCCTAAACCCTAATAACCCCACTTTATATCTACCCATGAAGCTCCAAGTAGGCTATAACCCCTACACCCTTCTAGAATCCCTATAGATCCCTTTAAAGGAACCCTAAACCCTAATAACCCCACTTTATATCTACACATGAAGCTCCAAGTAGGCTATAACCCCTACACCCTTCTAGAATCCCTATAGATCCCTTTAAAGGAACCCTAAACCCTAATAACCCCACTTTATATCTACCCATGAAGCTCCAAGTAGGCTATAACCCCTACACCCTTCTAGAATCCCTATAGATCCCTTTAAAGGAACCCTAAACCCTAATAGCCCCACTTTATATCTACCCATGAAGCTCCAAGTAGGCTATAACCCCTACACCCTTCTAGAATCCCTATAGATCCCTTTAAAGGAACCCTAAACCCTAATAACCCCACTTTATATCTACACATGAAGCTCCAAGTAGGCTACAACCCCTACACCCTTCTAGAATCCCTATAGATCCCTTTAAAGGAACCCTAAACCCTAATAACCCCACTTTATATCTACACATGAAGCTCCAAGTAGGCTATAACCCCTACACCCTTCTAGAATCCCTATAGATCCCTTTAAAGGAACCCTAAACCCTAATAGCCCCATTTTATATCTACCCATGAAGCTCCAAGTAGGCTATAACCCCTACACCCTTCTAGAATCCCTATAGATCCCTTTAAAGGAACCCTAAACCCTAATAACCCCACTTTATATCTACACATGAAGCTCCAAGTAGGCTATAAACCCTACACCCTTCTAGAATCCCTATAGATCCCTTTAAAGGAACCCTAAACCCTAATAACCCCACTTTATATCTACCCATGAAGCTCCAAGTAGGCTATAACCCCTACACCCTTCTAGAATCCCTATAGATCCCTTTAAAGGAACCCTAAACCCTAATAACCCCACTTTATATCTACCCATGAAGCTCCAAGTAGGCTATAACCCCTACACCCTTCTAGAATCCCTATAGATCCCTTTAAAGGAACCCTAAACCCTAATAACCCCACTTTATATCTACCCATGAAGCTCCAAGTAGGCTATAACCCCTATACCCTTCTAGAATCCCTCTAGATCCCTTTAAAGGGGCCCTTCAAGGAAGCCTTATATCTACCCATGAACTTTGAACCCTAAACCCTACACCCTAAACCCTAAACCCTGAACCCTAAACTCTCCCCAAGCCGACCTTAACTGCAAGGAGGAAAAAGGCGTTTAAAAAAAAAAACAAAACTCTCCCCAAGGGGCCCGAAGAGCTCCTCCAGTACTGGAAGCCAGCTTTTGTCGCTTTGGAGGAGCTCAGTCTCGACGGGGAGCTGCTCGAGGCAGGGCTGCTCTGGGGCTACTTTTTGAGGGTTTGTTTTGGGGGTTTAGGGCCAGGGGTTTTACAATTAGGGTTAAGGGTTTAGGGGTTTAGGGTTTTGAGGGTTTTAGGGTTTAGGTTTGAGGGTTTCAATCATTAGGGTTTATGGTTTAGGGCTTTAGGGGTTTAGGGTTTGGGGTTTAGGGGTTGGGGGTTGCGTGTTAAGGTTTTCTGGGGTTGCTTTTTCTTAGCAAAGTGTGTTTTCAAGCTCTTTGGGTACTACAAGGGGGTCCTTGGATCTTTAGGGGGTTCTAGAAGAGGTTTTTTTAGTAGGTAAGTAGGTAACCTTTAACTTTTTGGTGTTCTTATAATCCTAGCATACTTGAACAGGTTAACTTTTTTGGGGCTAGGAGACAGGTGCTATAAAGATTCCTTGCA